CTCTGCCCTGGCGGGACAGCCGCGGGGATCGGCAGGGCAGAGCGGGCCCGGCGAGCCGGGAGCTGGCAGCTATCGGGGAAGTTAGGCAGGCGTCTGAAAAGTAGGGGGGCTGGAATGCACTTTCCAGGGAAACGTGCTCTGACCTGTTCGAGGTGAGGCGTATCCTGGTGCCGGGCCTAAAATGTTCGCAACCAGCTGGTACGCTACAGTCTGAAAGCACAAAAACCCTAAAGCAGAGTGATGGGACTGTGTAGAATAACTACAATAAAGTGTCTGGGAGGCTGCAGACAGTTTTTCCTTAGCAGTAGGCAGTAGCTGGAGAAGGACAAATGTTTTATAGGCTTTGGTTATGTCCATTTCCAAAAGTCACGACAGAGAATGAAAATGCTTTGTGCCTGGGTTTATTTAAGGAATAAAATGTAGCTGAAGTAGTGGAGTGCTAGCCAAATTATCTTGAGGCAAAAAGGCATCTCAAGCAGCTTAGACTATATAATGGGCAGGAATTTCTTCAGTGTTATTTCGTTATTTTTTAATTTATAACTGTTATTATTATTAATTATTATTATTATTATCATCATTATTATTTTCATCATCACTACTGCTATGTCCATGAAGTGGTGATTAAGGTAACTTGGTAGCATTACAAAAATAATCATCACTGACTCAACAATAGCCAATAGTAGAAATAAGTGGAGTTTCTCTTGTACTTGGAGGGGTGGGGAAGGCAGGGAACAGTGACTAAATGAGTATTTAAGCTACCTGCATTCAATTTGATTTGATTCTTTTCAGAGTTTCGTTTCCTTCCTTCCTTCCTTCCTTCCTTCCTTCCTTCCTTCCTTCCTTCCTTCCTTCCTTCCTTCCTTCCTTCCTTCCGCCACTTCCTTCCTTCCGCCACTTCCTTCCTTCCGCCACTTCCTTCCTTCCGCCACTTCCTTCCTTCCTTCCTTCCTTCCTTCCCTGCCTCCTTTCTTTCCCTCTTCAATTTCTCATCATCATTTCTTCTTGAACATTGTTAAAGGGTGTGTTTTAGTCCATTGCCTGTTTACAGCCTTGATCCAGCAAGTAATTTAGACACGTAAAAATGTTATCCTGTGTTGAATGGCCTGCAATTGCAGAGAGCTTCTTTTGCTTTCAGTGGAAGAGTTCACACATTCTGATTTAGGCACTGGCATGAAGGCCATGATCAGGCAGAACCAAATATTTTCTGCCAGTCCTTTGCTACTTGGTCTACTGCAGGCCAGCATGAGCTACTTCTGACTCCTGTGAATTGCAACCCCTCCTTATTTATGAGGCAAGAACAAAGTACAGGATGCCATGGGATGAGGTTTTGACCATTCCCTCTCATGAATAAAACCAGAAATACATCACGCAGACAAAAATCTAAATTCATTACAAGTTTCACTTCAGTCTTTTCTCATTTAGCCAAGTTTCTACAACCCACTGTAGTCAAGAAGGTTTTTTCACTTCTAACAGACTGGCTGCAGCTTCATCTTTGGGATTGAAGTAATTTTGAAGGATCATAAAATAACCAACTTGTTAGAGAATAGCTGCTGTGCCCTTCTATGATTTTATTACCAAAGTATAATTTGCCATGCTTCACATGTAATTTATTCCTACAGGATCCACTGTAATGGATCTTATATATTACTTTTTTTTCTTTTGGTTGATCTTTCTCTTCACCTTTTTAAACTTTGAGAAATAAACCCAAAATTTCACTGAAGATGCTCACCTTAATATCATTCATTTCCAGATTCTATAGAACCTGATGATATGCCTTTGGAAAGCACTGAAATAACACAGGATCAGCTGCTGAACTATCAGTTGATGTTTCCCATGGGCCGGGATAAATCCATTCCCTGGAATTCCATCACTGGATATGAAAACATGAAAGCAAAGAGAATATCTGAACTCAAGAAATTGAAAGAACAGGTGGGTTTTCTTTGTAAAACTTTCAGAGACCATTTCAGTAGAGCCTTGCAAAAAAATTCTAGCAGCAACATTGAGATATCAGTATTTTGGGTAGCTGGCAAACCAACTTTTAAATGCTCTCCTCAGATGCTTGAGGAGCAGCATATTATTGCTGGAGCAATAATAACAGGCATGTTCTACACAGACGTCATGCAGAGGCTAAATGTTTCACCATATCTACGATCAGATTATAACCTGGCCCCTTAATTTACAGGAATCTATATAAAGTTCTTGGATTCCTTCTTCTAGTTAAGAAAAGTTTAGTTTAGTTAAAGAAAGGCATTTGTCAATACTCAGCGAAATACAAGGGAATCCTTCCATGTAGTTATTGATGAAATACCAGTGCAAAACAAAATGTGATTCTCTCTGATCACAAGGAAGCACTGTTAAGTACACTCATATAGAAAGACAAAAAGCTCAGCAATTGAGGTGAGGTTCGACACTGCAAAATCCTAGTGGCCAGTGAGGGTTCAGGGCCTTTGCAAGCAGGTTTGTGTTCCACTTGAGGGCACCAGAGAACCACGGCTACACCGGTGCCGGGCAGCAGCACCCCTCCGTTATGGAGCTGGGTGAGTCGGGAGGCACAGCATCCGGGGCTAGTCATGGTCACTGACAAAATGGAAAAAAAAAAAGAAAAAATATACTGATCATCACCCTACCTTGGGAAGCCTTATTCCATATCCAGGACTTAATCACTGATTTAATTTGAACTGTTATGCACATGTGCTGTTAGCTGCAGTTCTGATTTCTGAGGCTTCTGCTTTTCTCATCCGGAGCTGCAGATAAACCCACAGACTTGAATAAGATAGCTTATACGAGGGGCTAACATGGGGAGGTTTTGCAAAATCAGAGGTTATGTTTTCACTCAAAAGTAGAAGATTTGTTCAGTCACTTTGCCTTTCTTGTACTGATTGAAACTTGTTAGGTATTAGTAATGTACAGAAATTGTGACTTTGAAAAAGAGAGCCAGCAAATTGTGAAAACAGTGAATATTGCAAACAGTTCTTCATTCCCAGTTCCAAGAACTTTGGGGTTTGGTTCCAGAGCTACAGAATGGCTCCATGTTGCTTTGGCAACGGTTCTGTCCTGTACAAAAGATAACAAACATTCAGATGTTTGTTCTTGCACCATCTATATGTGCCTTGCACCTAGCCTCTATATATCAACAGAGCACAAGGCCATGGCAACCTGGAAAACGTGACCAATCTCACGTACCAGTCTTCTAACGTCCACCTCCCCATAACAGGAGAGATTGTATCCTCAGGACTAAAATCCCCATGTTTATGAGAACGGAAAAAACCTCAAAGAATAAAAACAAAAGTCTGAATGTAACACCAGAGTTTTCTGGCTGTGCTCCTACTGAGAGAAGAAAAACTAAATGCAAAACAGTCTGGTGCGGACTTTGTGCCTAATAAGTATTTTCAGGTTTTTACTGTCTACATTCTGATCGCCTTTTGTGTAGCTGATTTCTTTGTGATTTGGATATTCACTTCCCTGATATTCCTACAGGGTCCATGTCAGAAGGAGCTCTACAGAGCCCTGTATAAATTGGTGAAGGCTCAACAGAGAAGCAGAGGGGAGATCTACAAATTTTACTTGCCCAACTGCAACAAGAATGGATTTTACCACAGCAAACAGGTGCGTGCCTTTTTCCCCCTCTCTGCTCACAGCAGTGCTGCGGCTAGCCTGATACAGCCAACCCTTTGACAGGCCTCTGCTCCCAAACTCACAAGTTTGCAGCAGGTTGTGGAAACAAGGATGCTCTTAGTAGTGAGAGCAGATGGTTCATCCTTCTCTTCAAGGTGAGCTGCATGCTGGTGGCTGTCAGCAATAGAGGCAGGAGTCTTTTCCCTTCAGAGAACAGGTGCACTCAAAGCCTTTTCCAAAATATTTTAACTCTGTCTGCTCTCATGTACTTGATTTGTTAGCATGCATTCAGTTGGTGTTAATTCATAGTATCTACCATACTACCTGCCAAAACCCATTGAATATATAATAATCACTATGTAAAAAGTGGGCTCTCATCTCACAGGCAGTGGAAAACCTACATAGGGACTGAAAAAAAACCAACTCATTGGAGCAAAATTAACCTTCTGAAAGCCTAGCAAAAATACAAATTTGTGCCACCTGTGGATTAGGTTATTTGCTCATTTCCATTACACCCTCAAAAAAATCTGTTGCAAGTTACAGTGAGAGAAATCTGCAAAACTAACTGAAGCTCTGAACCTCAAGCCACACCCTGTAACCACAGGTCATGCATACAAATTTAGTAGGTCTACATAAATCTGTGTCACCAAGACTCCATGGTTTTGGGCATGGCATCACAGTGTGATTCGCAAACACTGTGACCTGGGATCTAATCAAGAGCAAACACAAACCTGTTTAAGCCCCTCCCCAAGAAAAAAACCCAAAACATACTACCTTATTTGTCTCCTTGTGTGAAGAGACAGGCAATTCAGTCACTGCTCTCACCCTATGAGATTTTATATTCTGCCATCCTTACATTTCTCACACTGGCACTGGAAGATACTGCTGCTTTCTACTGCTGTTTACCAAGGACTGGACAGTTTAAAATCTGCTCTTGTGATAGCTGAGCTTAGGTCTTGGCTCCCTAACCAAGTGTGTTGTTTAGAGGCTCTGCAGACCACTGCATTCAAAACAAGCCTGTGCATGGCAGGTCCCATTCTGATTCTAATTCTGTCCAACACTTCTATTGACAGTACCTCACAGGTAATCTTAAAGTTACTTATTGTATTTTTTTTATTATTTTTTTTGCAAATAATGTTCTAGTGTGAAACTTTACTGGATGGAGAATCTGCTGAATGCTGGTGTGTCTATCCAAAAAATGGCAGAAGAATTCCTGGATCTCCAGAAATTAAAGGAGACCCAGAATGCCAACAGTATCTCGGCTCACAAGAATAAAACTAAACCCCACGGTTTCTCACACCGAGTTTTCTGTGGGGCCTGGAATAGCCAGGAACCATTCCAGTCAGGAGCCATTTCACTAAGGTAGTCTTGTGCACCTGATTTTGAGTGTATGAGTAAACCCATAAAGTAATATTTTTACTGCACTGAGATTGCCTAAATGTTTAAGTGACAAACGCGAGCAACTTCAAGATCAAATTCTATAACCTTGTATATTTTGTTTGTATAATATTATATATACCCTCATATGTAAAGCTGATGAATTATTTATTTCTCACTGCATGTATTTTTGTCTCTATGTATTGTTACTAATTTATATTCTCAAACACTTCATAACTTTATATTTAAATACTTAATATTATTATGCTTAAATATATGCATCATGTTGGAGGAATGTTGCAGCTTAAAACTACAAATGGCATAGATATTGGGAAAAATGGCTTGTAAACTTGCATTTTTGTACTACCTATTTATAGATGTAAAACTGAATTTTTAAAAATAGATTTCAGTAGCAAGCATGCTTAGGAACCTATTTAAAACCTGTTTTGTGAACATATTATGTTACTTTTGCACCTCTGTTTCAATGCCAAGCTGTTTGTTAAAAGAGAGAGATTATATACTGAAGCTCCTGATGGGATAGTATTTGTATCTATTTTTAAAACATATGCACTGGATAAATGGCAAAACACAATATGATATTCTGCACCACCTTTGACAGGTGTAAGTTGTTCACAATGTTGACAATATTATTTAAAATGAGCTATTAAAAGTCTTCTGTTCTGCCCTCGTCTCTTGTTTTCTGCTTGTTTCCCTTCAACAGTCTGACCGTAGCAGGAAAACAGGCAAAAGTCACCAATTTGCCTCCTGAATTACACACTCCTTTTGCCTTCAATGAACTTACTGCTTTTGGTCTCCCTGCCCTGTTCCCCTAGTTCTGTCCTCTCCAGTCCCACCTGTGCCACGCACGCCTCTGCCTTAGGCAAAACAGCAGCCTCCAAGGGAAGTTATTAAAAGATTTTCTGGATAGGAAACTGGATGCTTTTCTCCACTCAAAAGCCCAAGGCAGAAGTATTAGTACATTTGCAAGATAACATCAAGACTAGAAAGAGCCACTTCCTGCACAGCAAGTCAGAGGTTATAAAAAGGCGACTGGGAAAAACCCAGCCTTACACTCTTTTTCTGGAAGTAGAGAAGAGGGTACTCTTGGCTTGGGATATGGTCCATTTCCCTCCCCTACATGTTCCTTTGACTTAGTGATTGCAGAGAAAAAGAGAATGCAAGTGACTGCCATTCTGGCTTCAAGCTGGTTTTGTCCATGGAGAAACTGGTGTGGGAGTAAGCAAGTCCCACAGGTGAAAACAGTCTGCAACAAAACTTCCTATGAAAACAGCCAGGGAGGAGAGTGATAACATATTCTAAGGAGTCTGGCAGAAGTGAAAGCCTAAAATCCTCCTGCCATTTTTTGGTAAAATTTTAAGTGAGAGGGGGAAGCTGCTTGTTGAAACTGCAAAGTGAAAGTGTGGAGATCTCTGCTCTCCCTGTCACGGTTCTGTTCCCTTCATACCTTGCACTTGCTGTGTTGGCTGTATCTGTGTGCCAATGTCTGCCAATCCGATGGGGCTCTGGTAAACTGCTCCAGATTTAAAAGTATGTATATACTACTGACCTCCTTTGTGAAGTCTTTTGAGATCTTCCCAAGGAAAGCACTGCAAAAAAGCACCTGACAGTACTGGTATTGTAAGTAACTGATGTCTAACATGCCTGTAATGAGCTACTCTGAGACCTGGCTTAAACTGTGTTGCAGTAACACATTCACTATGTCCAAAGGCTTGGCAGTCACTATATCAAAACAATGAAGAAACAGCAAGTTTTTGAGTTCTTTTCAGGGAATCTACTCAGCACT